GGGGGGGAGGGGCATTGACGGAATAATTAATAAGCATCGCGCTAATTACCCGGCGACGGTGTTATTAATATTTTCTCCACGCCTCCGTGGTAATACACCCCGACCACACCGACGCGACAATTAATCATTCCACACAAATGCGTTTTCCGCGCGTTTCTTTCTGCATCCGCGGCGCGCGAGTACGCTCGTCTTTCTTTNTTCCTCTTCCCCCCCCCCTCGTGACGACATACGGCGTTTACTCGGCGGAAGAGAAGAAGTATTCTATATACACGGTGTATTCTTACACAACGCGCCTTCGGAGCACCGCATCTGTAATTAAGGACGACGATCGTAGTAAGAAGACACTTTCCACGCCCATTATTATATCTTACGTCCGCCTCGACGTATCTATTTACAGGCGTCCGCCTGTGCACGTCGGTTTCTACGCGTCCGGCTTTGCGCGTCTGTTTCTACATGGCGTCTCGGCATTCTCATGGCGCATACGCAAGCAGTAAGCAAATTGATCAGTCGCTGTCGATTGTTCCTCCATCGGCCGAGAGCGAAATTTCGATGCCATTCTGACGCTCTTAAAAATAGTTAACGCCTATTTAGACGGCCTAAGTTAGCAAAAACCTACGATACCGGTACTTTTTAACTTCTCCCTTGTACCTTTAATTCTAGATTGAATTTTCCCGAATCGAAATTTTATTCCTAATTTAAGTCTAATTTAGTTTTACACTAAGTGTTCGTAGGTCTTTTATTGTTCTCCTTTGCTGCTACAACTGAGGAACTTATTTCCACATTAAAGACTTAATGTAGAATTAAAAATTAGAAATTTCGTCGTCAGTTTGATGCTACTTTCAACAACATATTTTGGTGCTGAAAAAGCGAAAACGGTAAATTTAAGACATTGTCAGAGTCAACATAGGGATTACAGTATTTTATTAGAATTGAAATCGAGTCTATTAGGCTATTTTAGCTTCTTTTAAGTTGTATTAAAAAGGTTTAAGTTACAGAAGCAAAATTTCGGCTCGATCGTGAGCGGAATAATCGACTGTGATTGGTCAATTTGCTCGGTGCTTAAGTCTCCTGCTGCTTGTGTTTTTGTGCGTGCCATTTTGTCACGATGGGCGGAAAAATTCGGGCGGACAAGAGCGATCGATGTCATGAGCGAAGTGCGTTGCGACCGGATAACCGGTCGAGTCACTGAAAAATTCCATCTTCCCGCTCGGATATCCCGAAAGTCCTATTGGGAATAATCACCGAAAGGGAAACGAAGAAAATTAGTTTCGATCGCTCGATCCGACTTCGGTATCGTCTACTACTATTATATCACCACTACTATTACTGCTACACTACTATTACTATTACTAATACCGCAACTATCGGTATTACTACTGCCACTACTGTGGCCGACGAATTTCCGAGCCGGAATTTACGCGACGGTTTTATCAACCGCATACTAAAATATTTAATTTCGTGCCCCTTTTCCTCTATCCCCCCTCTTTTTTTTTATTTGCGACGAAGTTTCACGACTGCGCGCTAACCAAATGTAAATGTCGAATGTCGCGACGAATATTTCGTTGGCGGCGGGGAGGAGACTTATTATTAATCCTTTGTTTCGCTGAGTGGAGCCGGAGCTGTCGGGCAAACCCTCCTCGCGAGTTTCCGAGTTCGCCCGCGCGCTGTTGCTCTCACAACAGAACGCAACAATGGGAGATATTAATTATATCGAAAATTAGTTCCGAGCATCGTCGAATGAGAGTGAAAAGTTCAGCCGTTTGTGCGCTGTCGGAGCGGCGACGTCGAGTGAATTCGGCACGTGTTAGAAAATTTCGTTGGAAACACACACGGTTGGCGCGTTGAAGTCCCGGAGTCGTTATTCGCCGAATGAGTGCCGACACATTACAGCATTCGACTATTTCCGGGATAGATGTATCACAGTGGTTTCTATTGTTCCGGTTAATCGAAAGAGAGAGAGAGGGAGAGAGAGAGAGAGAGCACAAATGGGCTAGATAGCTAAATAGATAGATAACGAGATCAGTTGATCCCGAATAAATTTATTTATTCGGAGAGAGAAACACACATACAGAGAAAGAGAGGATAGTGAGACTATGGCGGATAAATGTTTTATTAGTGCAATCGCGTTATTTTGTTATAGGTATCGCGTACCGATTGAACCGTTGCGTGATAGCTCAGTGAAAGCACGCGTTTATATTTGCTTATATCGCCATCGAAGCTCCATTTACCGGATCCAGTACGGCGATAATGTGCAAATAGTATAAATAACCATTGTACATTTCGCCGGGTTATTAATATCCTATTATTTTGGATTATGCGGCGACATTTCGTTTCGCTTCCCGTTTTCAGAATCGGTTCGGCCATTGTCCATTGTAAAAGTAGGTTACGTGCGTCGTTTTGAAACATCGCGCTAGCCTGTGTGTGTGTATTCGTGCGTGTGTACGTATGCATAGTCATTTCCCATCTTTTCGAGAAAGAGAGAGAGAGAGGGGGGGGGGAGGTTACGCGCATTATATTTTATTATATCCATCGCGTTTCGCCGACTTTCACAGGCGGTCGTAATGAACGACGTTTACGAGCGTTGCGCCGTTCAGCTTCCGGCGTCGCGGGACCGAATCGGTCGCGTTCGTTTGGGATCGCACGTTCTCGATATAAAAATCACGCGTTCGAGTAACGAGCGCGATCAACGATTTGTTGTTTACACGCGCTCGCTCGCGCGATTGATATACCCGCTCTAATAAGGCTAATGCGATCGTCCGGTTATAATCGACGAACCCGGTTACCCGCGCGAGCGGAGGAGCGCGCGCTGTCCAGGATACTTTCCAATTATATCGATCCATTTCACTTATCCGTTAGAAAACCGCCGATCTCCGCGCAACTCCTCCTCCCCCCGCCGAAGCGAGGGGAACTCGGCGAACAGCCGTCGGACTTTTATTCTTAATTAAACGCTCACCGGCTAATGGTTTCCGTCATTGTCCGGCTTGAAACCGTTTCTAAACGGCGCTGGTCGTCAGCGAGTCCACGATGCTCCATTGAGCGCGCATATATTAAACGAGATCGCGCGATCTTCGCGTACACCATCTCGTGTCTCGTGTGGGAAAAAATACCTCGATACCAGTGAAATGCCCACCTTTGAATCTATACGATGACAAAATCACGGGGTAATCGTGAGCTTTCCAACGGCGCAGAACCTAACGACTCATGGGTCTTGAAAAGTCTATCGTGACGTCGAAAACGGAAAATGTCTTTCAACCAATTTCGCTTTTGCTGATTTAAGGGGGTATTCTTATTTGAAATGTCGTCGTTTTGTCAGAGATTTTTAGAGATTTTATTTAGAAAGAACTGTGAGTCGTACAATTCTGAAGTTTTGAACGAATATTTATCTGTGTGATTTAACTACATTACACTGTATGCAAAAAAGGTAAACATTTATTATAAACCTTTTCCTCCCAAAAATAGTCACAAAATTGATTTTTGTCATGTACTTTTTATGTCAGAAATGTTTTCCCATGCTTCTATCTTCAATTATTGTTTTTTACCAACCTTGCTGATTTAACTTAGGCTGAAGCGACTTTCAATAAACCGTAATATTTATTTATATATTTTTGCATAAACGAAGGACGCTATGAAGAAAAGTGACACATATTTTTGGAGTAATTTTTTCCGTAGAATCGATTAGCGTAATCAGTTTTGTAAACTGAACGATTATATTCGTCAAAGTGTTATTTAATCGATTCTAAATTCAAAGTTATTAATTATTTTATTCTAAATTATAATTAAAATCAAAGTTATAATTAATTTATTCAGGGCGTTATTTATAGAAACGTGACACTGTATAATGAAATGAAGAAAAACAGAGATGATGATATAATGTCCAACTAAAATAAATGTTTTAAATTTGTTTAAAATAACAGAGTGTTTTGTTACAAAATTATATATTTCAAGATAAACTTTTAGCAGAAATAATAACGAATATAACTACGTATTTTGTTAATGTAGATATTGATTTATTTATCTGTCAGACAATCTGTCAGAATAGAGAGTCAGAATTACCATCAGAAAGATAGCCTTGCAATGCAGATAGAAATGTAATAATGAATTATAGATTAGAGTCGACTTAATCGAATAACTACTTCCATATGGAAACCTTGAATAAAAACGGTTGTCTTATCGACACTCTCAAGGGATCACATTAGAAAAATGTCGTATTATTGTATAACGTTGCATAATTCAAAATGCAGCCGAATGAAATGTTAAATAACGAACAGAATATTAATGTACTAATATATTCGCGCGATAATGCATTCAAGTTTGAGAAGAATGAAGGAGTATGTGTAATTAAATATTGAAATGTATTTGTTAACTAAATGTCGGCTATAGTATATTTGTATATTAAAGTTACTACTGTAACGCTGAGCTACTGAATGAATGATTTCATAAGTGATGACTAGAATTCGCCACGCAATGGAGATATTAAGAGAGGCTATATTACCATCTTCTCCTTTATCGAATATAATAATATGTAGAAATAACTTTACACAGATAAATATTTCTGCGTAATTTCAGAATTGTATGTTTTATAGTTTTTCCGAAAGAAATCCCCAACAATCATCTATCAAACGAAACGTGCCAAATGAGAATATCCCCTTATTTCCAGCGATATTGTAATCCCCCGCGAGACATGCCCATGAATTGTTAGCACGTGTTTCTAGTTTGGCACATTTTGATGATTTACAACACGTCTATGTGTATGTGTGTGCACGGGGAGAAATTTTCTGCTGACACAGGAAATTGCATGATACTATCGTGACAGCAGAAAGAATTGTTTGAACAGCAGAAAAACTTAATAATTAATACTCTTAACAATTTCAATTATGCTAACTAAATTTCATTATAGGCACCGCTACAACAGTACAATTTTTTCCGTGTATATGTGTGTTATTTTTATTAGCGTTTTGCAATTGAGATCATTCGTAAAATTCACAGATCGATTTACTCACCGCCCACGACGATGAAGTCGTAGTAATATTCGGGTGGATCTGTCTGCTTCACGCGTTCGCACAGCTGAGACACTCTGTCTTGGCTGCGTACGAGCGTGTCCAGGATTGTCATGAACGTCAAGAACTGCGATCCTGGACAGACCTGAGCGAGGCTCGGCCCGAGGTAGGGCTCAGGACATGCAGGGCCGACCGACAGATTATACGACATTCTGCGAACAGTGAATATCACAGTGTGACAGCGTCGCGTTGTGGTATTTGCAATTTATTAGCACGCGCGCGATTTAGCGATCTCACGATAACTTCAACATTTCCACTTGGTTTAACGGTGATGCGCACGTATTATTATTGCTACATTGCTGTGTGTAACCTTCGTCGAAAGCTATGCGCGGAGCTGGTGTGATTAGTCTTATCGTTGCTTATTTTTGCGTGACTAAACTATACGTACGCCGCGGCTATCATTCTCCAAAAATCACCGGCATGCCGGTTTAACTGTGTGGTATCTATCGGCGGTAAATAAAAAAAAATACATGAAAATAAAGATAAAAAGAGAAACGAAAATAAAAATCAAAGGAGAAACGAGAAAACAAACGAAACACGATGACGAGGACGCGATCGAAAATTGATTGCGATATTCGGTGCGCTTAACAGATCGATGGCGCGCGATGTGCGGCGACACGTGAACGCGCGCGCAATTCCAGCTATCGAGCGAAATTAGATTTAATGACGTTTCGCAGCGCGCGAGCGTGCCGCGCCGCTCTGCGGGCTCCGTTGCGTTTCGCGCGTCGCGCAATCTCTAATTCCGCCCGGGTGTTTTTCTTTTTTTTTTTCTCTCTCTTTTCCTCTTTTCTTCTCGTACACCGGCGCGCGGCTAACGTCCCACATCCGATGCTAATCGAAGTCAGGGACGTATCGAAAGTAACGCGCGCGTGAAACGTGAAAAAAAAAGAGAGCGTCGCGGACTTTCGCGCGCGACACCGCGACCCTTTTCTCGGTCACGCTTGCACAAGCCGCGCGCGCCACGTCACGTCGACGAATCGCCGTGTTTTCACGTGTGTTTAACTGCGACGTTTAAGGAAAGCCCGAAGCGTGCCGCCGCTCTTAATTTGTTAACCGGGAAAGACGAGTCGGCACTTGCGAAACAACGAAAGTTTTGCAATTGCATATACACACATACACACACGGAATGAACGATACATTCCTCTGTGTTTTCGTCCCTGCAACGCGAAAGCGCCGTACGCTCCGACGTTTCGCCGCTTCTCTCTCGATTTTAAATTTACCCGCCTCCATCTCCGATCGTCCAACATTCAATTTAGGCACAGATTTCAATCTCCGACTCGAAAACGTCCCGTTTGACGGATTAAACCGTGTCCGATGCTTCGAAAGCAAATTCGAGGCGATCGTACTGACCGTTCCAGCCCTTCGCGCGCGTCTTGAACGAGCGCTTTATATCTCGGCGTCATTAGCATAAGCTTTCCTTCATGGCGACATGCACGCTCAGCAGAGGACGCGCTCCAACACACACACACACACATGCCAACTAACATAAATAAATATTCGCTTTAATTAACGGGATGAGTTAATAGCATTGTAATTAACTGAGCGCGTTAATTAATTCATCCCTAATTAACACGGCTACCTTTCTGTGCCATTACGCGTGCGCATTAGCGCCCGGAGGAACAAAGTGCGAGCCACAAAGACTCGTCGCGGCAGCGAGCGGGGTGCAATGATTATCACAATGAATTTGCATAATTCGTCCTTCGTGTGCCGTACGAAAATCGCGATATTACTCCTTTCGCGTATCACCCCTCTCACCTCCCCACTGTTCCGGTTTTCGCGGTGACGGCGGCGGGGCACCGACTGAAAACCGCGCCGGAGTTAATTAAACGCGCGCTAATTTCGAAACCCCGTCAAACCTTCTTGAGTCACGTGAATCGCCAACGACACGAACGCGAGAGATCGCGTTTTATATCTATGCCATTTATAATGTATACACATCAAACTGTTGAACATATATACGGGAAACGCGTGTATGATTTATTGCAACGAGCTGCAACACGAGATTGTATAGAAAAAAGAGAGAGAAAGAAACACGCTATGTGTGTGTGTGTGTGTGAGAGAGAAATAGAGAGAGTGAGGAGGGAAGGGAAAAAGCACACGTGCGCGATAGGGCCCATGGCGAGCGGAGAAATGAATCGATAAGCTTTTATGCGCTGTGATTTTTTCTACTTTTTATATAAATCTTTTTTCTCTCTCTCTCTCTTTCTCTCTTTTTTTATGCAACGGGACTGATCTCTGACCGGAATCAGTGAACGGCAATAACTATCACACGGCAATTTAAACATCACCGTAGCGTGTAGACGCGTAAGGATTGCAAGCTCGGAAGCTCGGTGAATGAGAAGGAAGCTCGGAGGAAGATGAATCAAGAGCAATCACGTGCCGAGTCGCGCTTGGTGGCGTTCCGAGATAGGCAGACGTAGTCTTCTCAACGCTTAAAGAGTTGAAAACGTAAAACAGACAGAGAGGTGTCGATATTTGTTTAGAGCTTATCTCGAGCCCCGGGAAATACACCGTGGGGAATAGAGCGGAAAATTCCGTGGTATTAAGTAGATAACAGGATAATAAAGGGAATAAAGTTTAGATAAAGAGTGACGGATTAATTTCGACGCGAACCCGGGACGAAATGTTACGTGTAGAGGCAAGACTGTTCGGCGGGAAGCTTCAATAGAAGAACAATAAATTCATGTTTGGTCTGGTTTATAGTCATCCGCGAGCGTCTACGGGGCTGTCCGGAGATTTGAAAGAAACCTTGACTGGAAGCCGGCAAAGCCATAGAAATCCATTAGACTTGCGGCCATAAATTCCCGATCGACGAGCGGCGTACGATCCTCCCCGGTAGGAAGAAGAATGTTTCGACGAGGCGCAAAACGGGGAGGTGAACGCACACGCGTGAATCGTGAGGATGATCTAAATAAAGATCGAAATCGATTCTTCTCTTTCCCCCTCGCTGCTCAGTGCTTTACGTTCGGCTCTCGCACACCCGAGGAATTTCCAACATAGAAATCTCCCGAAAGACAAGGAGAACATTTTCTTATCCCTTTCTGGAATGAATTAATCTTTGAATTTGCTTTATACTACGATGGTGTNGGGGGGGGGGGGGAGGTTAACGGGCGATTTGGCGCTCGCCGGCGAAGAGAGGTAATCGTCGCGGTGGCCGCGGTTCGATTTCGCGGCGCGAAGGGCACGTTAAACGATACTAACGTCGCACTTGTGGCGTGGTCTCCTCTTTCAACGATCGATCCCGTGTGTCGTCGCGCTCCTTCCGATCGAGATCCACGCGTGACCCGGTGACGGCTGGCACGTGCGTTTTTCACTGCACAAATACGGCACGGTGCGGCACTTCGGTGCGCGCGACTTCGGTGCAGCGAGCGGGCAAAGTGTAACTGTAAGACCTCTCACTGTGGAACGCCACTTTATAATTCATCTCCCACTCTGTAGCTGTCGTATTCCCCGGCGGAGGAACCCACTATAGATCACGTCGATGAACGTTCATTAATTTTTCCTTTTTTTTTTCTCTCTCTCTCTCTCTCTCTCTCCTCCTTTCGTTTTTTTCCCGCCTGATGATTCCGTCGCGAGCTAATAGTCACGCCCGTCGTTCACGTGCGGTGGAGGAATGCGCCGTGTAATCGTGGCCCTAAGGAGATGGAGAGGCTGCGACAATGCGCCCCGTCGCGTGGATCTCGACGAACAGTCACTTTCAGGAAGAGCTTCTCGATTCGATAGCGGTGGATCGATCGTTGCCGCTCGTAAAATTTTACGCGGGACCTTATTCGCCGGCGGCCGAAGTCGAAATCCGCTACTTTGACGCTCTTAAGGATAGTTTGGGTCCTCTTAGACGGTCTTTAGACTAATAAACACCTATTTTGACGATACTGACACGCCTTTTTCGCTTCTCTTTTGAATTTAATCGTATACGGGAGAAGAAAACTGGTTGCTTTAACTAAAAAGGGAATGACCAGGCGCGTTCTGGTCGAAGGGAGCAGAATTTCTGGTTCTTACAAATCTGGTATTCTTATAACCGGAAATTCTGTTTCTTCCAACTAAAATGCACAAGGTTGTTCACTTTCTGATTGATACAACCAGACTTTTTTCTTCCGTGAAAAGATTGAATTTTAACACCACCTTCAACAACCTTTTTCGATGTTGGAAACAGAAATTAAGATATCACTAAGGTTAAAATAAGGGTATAATTACATTATTCGAATTGAAATTGAGTCCATTTTGCTGTCTTAACTCTTACTGTATTGTAGAATCAAAGGTTTAACAAGGTCCAAAAATTCGACTCGGGCGAACAACGTCGAGAAGATTTCGCGGATGTCGCGCGCGCGCGCCTGAATCCCGAAGAATAGATATGAAAATGAAGCATGTGGGAATTTACGCAAGGGGCACAGTGTGTAATCGCACAGGGATCCATTATACATTCGCAAATAACTCGTTTCTCGTTTAATCGGATATATTATCTTATCTCTTTTCGCGTATCTACGTTCGTTTGCGCAGTCGAGTCGTTATCTCGGGAAATGCAACGCACGGCGAATTCGACGGAACGATTCGTCCTTCGCGCCGGTATTGTCATTAACGTATCGTGCACGAAACGGTATAGGCTTTTCGAGATCGTTGTAAAATAATTAGTTTACACAATCGCTTGAACGACCGCAACGATCTACGGCTCCGCACTGATAACGCGAAATACACATCGCGGCCTTTATAATTTTATAACGCGCCGGTTCTCGTTACGGTAAACGAAGAACGCGTTTCAAAACGCGTCGCGCGTTCGCTCGCTCGCGCGCAACCGTCGAGCGTGAAGCGCTTGGTGTCAGCAAAATGCGGAACAACTATTTCTTCGCACACGCGATTGCAGCATTAACCGCCGTTGCGAACGAGACGTATCCTGTGACATGCACGCGCACACACCGCGCGCGCGCACGTGGTAAATCACTCTTCCGGACTGTCCCTGCAATTAACAATCCAATCAATTTGCTAATGATTCTCGGCGCAAGAATGATGATATATTTGTACGTATAAATGATGTCACACTTGAGTCTTGTGGGAAAAAAACTGCGTTATTATACACGCGAGACTTGAATTGGCGTGCGTTAGAGAGCTCTAAGTGATTGTGTGTCGAAGCACGATTGATCGCATGTACGTTCTCCGATCAGCGTCGCGATAAATCACGTCTTACGTTAACGCGCTAATCGTGATATCTTTAATATATAGAAAATTTCTTGAGTTCTAATTAGGCCCCGATTTCCCAAAATAATTATGAATTCGAACGGGGAAAGCTCCGTATCGGTTCCGGTTGGAAGTGTAACGTTTCGAACGTACTGCTTTAAGGACCGTTTTATTAGTTGTTATTTGAAACTAGTCTCAAATAAAATAGATTTTAAGTTCAGAGTTGGTTGTGAATTTTTCAATCGAATAACGTTTACAAACGTAGAATGTAAGATTCGAGTGAAAAATTTAGACCCAGTTCTGAATTAATCTGAATCTGGATATTTTACGCGAGACAAGTTTTAAGTGGCAACTATTAATGCGGGCCAAAGTGTGAAACATAAACATATGCTATTTAGTCATTACCGATGTTTATTTATATGCTATTTAGTCATTACCGACAAATATTGTTTCTGGTTTCTATTTTACACTGCGATTGAAAACAAAATATATGGAATACTTCAAGTATTCACATTTTAGAAGTACAATCGGTGTCGTGTATACCGCATGATCAGTCATTAAAAAGTCATAACACTTTTTCTCGGCGAGTTTCACAACGTATCTCTTATCCAATAGGAAAATATGTATCCTGAGAATTACTAGGAAACATGTTCTCCTATTGGACACGGAATGCGTTCTAAAATTTACAAAAAAAAATATTGCAATTTTTTCGTGACTGACCATACTATTCTCTAGGCAAGAAAATTGCACGATTTTCAGTTTTCCATATACATGCATAAGGCTAATACCGCCATAATTAGAACCAATATAATCCTATCACATTACAATTTAGTTACTTACGTGATTTTTTGCTGGATTATGTATAAGGCTATAAATCGTGTAACTTCCTGTCTAGGGAATGGTGCAGCATACACGACGCCGATTATACGCACACAAGTTACGCGCACGCTATCAAGCATAGTAACATTAACAGTAAAACTAGTTTATTAACTTTCTTATGTGATAATTTGATATCCGTTCAAACTTGATTTTGGCGATAGTCATGCGCGACAGGATACAGGATACAGCCAATCGATATCGCGAAAAAGGTTTCGTCTCATGTTTGAGATAAGAACAGGATTTCCAATTGGTATCGCGGTGAAATAACCTATTTTAGGATAACTTATTTTACGAACAATCTATTTTAAGGTATTCCAATCGGAATCTACATTGTGTATGGAAAAATCCGGAAAAATATCTACGTGGGACCTCGTAATACATCGGATTCCGCGGGATTGCAATCTCTGTACACTCGAATTTCCGACGACACATTTCGATACACGTGTTATTAATTATTTTCGGATTGGTATACCAGGCTATGATTATCGAAGCGCTTTCGCATGTGTATCAGCGAATTATCTATTTGCGGACTGCCTATTTACCGTATCATAAACAAATGCTCATAACGGATATTTGCTCGTAAACAAATTCCGTGCGCTCACGTGCCGGCAACGCAAACATTTTTGGATCAATTCCGAATGGATGGATGTTTTCGCTAACAATTAACGCTACTGTTGAAACGCGAGCTCTCACGCTAAGAATATGCTGAACGAATAAATCTATCTCACACGTAAGTATATAGCACGAGACACAATTACCTGTCCGATGTGAACTTGATCTTTACGAGCAGATTAATGCACACACGCAGAGAGCGCTCTCGAATGAGACTGAAGTGCGCTGCGTATCGTACTTACTTTCTATATCATTGATATACTAAGATATGCCTGTGTCGATAACGTGGCGATTTGCATGCAAATGCGTTAGCTCAATGCAGTATATTCTCCACATGGTTAATTAGTTGCGCTACCAGTCACCGGAAAAGAGTGAACTATTCAGTGACTGGTTCTTGGCAGAAAAAGTGACCTCTCAGACATCGAAATAATGACTGAAAATGACGTTTTTTGTCGAATTCTAAGAGTCTAAGGCCATTTAAACCAAGAAAGTAACATTTATCTTCCTAGATCTATCTTTGGATAACTTAATTTATAGCAAATTCTTCTTATAATGCGGCCTGAAAGTTCATAACAAAGAAAGATGCAAGAAGAAAAATGCAACAATACAAATATGGGGTAATTTTATTAAGAGAAACGGCAAAAATATATATAGGACGGTCATATTTTACAAATTTAACGGCAGCGCAGAAAAAAGTGACTATAGAGATTCATTTTGGACGATAGTGAATTTTTTTAGTGACTTGTCAAGAAAAGAGTAACTTAAGGGGTTAGGCTATCTTAGACGTTTGAAAACGACCATATATTAGATCTTCCTCTTCTGTTATCGAATTATTGAAAGCCAATTATTATTGCTTGCGTCGATTTCTATCTCTTTTTGATGCATTGCGTTCCCTTTCTCTGCAAGACACTAACAAATTTCGTTTTCTTTCTGGTATATATTCCACGTATTACGGTTGATTCTTTTTGTTTCACGCTTTCACGGTGATATACGATCCAACGAGTATTTAACTCGCAATTTTACATTTCTAATAAATAAGTGTAAAAGCGTTTCAACGTAAGAGCCCTAACTTGGTTGAATTCGACTGAATTTTAAACGACATTTAAACGAATGACTTAAACGGGTGATTAAAATTCTAATGCTAACATGAAACAGAACTAATATAAGTACAAAAAGAAGTAGAATAAAGGTAACTACAGAATCGCAAATCATCGTTGCTGTCTGTTAGAATGAATACTGCACGGCGATATATATATATATAAATATTTTGAATTCACAAAAATACACATAGATTTTTCCACGATAACGATGAAACGTTGAAAGGTCACTTGTTATTTATGTGTTTTGGTCACATTCAAGCGCTTGAACGCACTTGTATCGCCATTCATGTGCGACGTTGGTAAAACTCACGAAATACTGCGCATTTTCAAATCAGACCGCTTGTATATTATCTTTAAGAATATAAATTTTAATTTAAAGCGGGAAATTTTTTTTTACTTTTGGAAAATGTCAAAGTGGCCCAATCTCTTAACACGTTCATTGCCAAGCTGAAAATTGGAATTTCGTGTGGTGGCCAAATTTTTTTTATTTTTTTATTTAGTTTTTATTGTGCTCAAAATAAGTTAATATATTATTTATATGCTTTTATTATTATGTACATAGGATTTATGTACTCTAAATATCTACTACGCGATAACGCGTGATCGG